AGTATTCCTTGCGACTTTACAGAACATAACTACTGTAAATAAAGAGTATCAACTGTATTTGTATGTCTATGTATATAGTTGTGTGTGTGTGTGTGTGTGTGTGTCCGTGTGTAAAGATCTTCCAGATATGAGTGGTTACACTTGAGAAGGGACAGAGGTTGAGGAAAGTTGTTCAAGGAGAACCTTAAGCTTTATCTGTAGTCAAAGTTTTTTTTTTTTTTTTTTTTTTTTTTTTTAAAAACAACTTAAAAAGGGGCAGGAAACTCATCAAAACTACAACAACAAAAAAAGATTTGAAATCTCATACTCCTAATCAGTGTTTCTCTCACTTCATTTTTACCATAAAATGCAATGAGGAACTAATCACTCAGAGTAGTAGACACTGGTAAAGCTCAATGAGAAGTAGTATGGTTGGTGGTTTAGAGAGTGAGCTCTGAAGCCATACTACTAAAGTCTGTATCCTAGTTTTGTCATTCATTAGCACTATTCCTGGGCAAGTTACCTAAGCTTCTCTGTGTCCCAGTTTCTTCCTATATAAAAACAGATCACTTCATAGGATTATCATGGAGATTAAATGAGTTAAGACATGTACAGTCCTTAGAATAGTACCTGGCCCCATAGTCCGTGTTCAATAAATACCAGCTATTACTTTATCACTACTACCATGACTGAAGACAACAGATGCTCTAGAAAAGAAAAGCGACCTATTAAGAATATACTTTTTCTTTTTCTTTAAGATTTATTAATTTATTTGAGAGTGAGATGGAGAGAGAGAGAGAGAGAGAGAGAGCCCAAGTGGGAGGGACAGAGGGAGACAGAATCTGCAGCAGACCCCATGCTGAGCTAGGAGCCTAATGCAGGGTTCAATCTCACAACACTGAGATCACCACCTGAGGCAAAAATGAAGATTTGGATGCTTAACCAACTGCACCACCCAGGCGCCCCTAGGAATATACTTTTAATTTAACATCCTATACAGACTAGGTAATGTTTCCTATTTATGGTAAAGAAGAAATAGCAAGAAATCTCATTTTTCTACTGGATACAAGTTTATTTTTCTATTGCTAGTAATAAACTTACTGTTATATAAAAAGTACCTGTAAACATGAGGGCTACAGACAAGAGAGGCTGAAGAAAGTATCCTCCTGAAATCTAAATTTGGTGGATATAGCAAAAGTATAAAGGTTAAAAGGGCATAGTAAATACCGTGAAATTCTTAAGGTTCCTCATTCATAAATGTCAACACATGACAAAAAGCACTACTTTAGGCATAAGATGTTTTAAACATCTGTCTGAATTCATATTTTGCACATCATATTTGGACCATAAAAGTTCTAAAAAGAGGTGTGAAGATCAAAAAAGGCAAATATGCACTATAGACCAGATTTTTCCTACTTGTCACATACTTGCTGAAAATACACTTAAACTGCTCCAGTGCATACTTTCTGGAAACAAGATACAGCTCTAAAAATTAGCAAAATGTCTGAGTTCAAGTTTAAAGGTGCCAAAGCCACCAGAAGCTCTAAATTACAGATCCTCAGAGGTTGTTTTTCTCTGCAGTCATTTTTGAAAATGAAGATAATGCCAGCTGTTTTTAACTCACTTTCCACCTTTCTAATTCTTTAAATTACATAGGGTATTAATACTTTCGTTTAATTTCAGTAAGAGGTTAAGATAAGCAATTCCAAAGAAAGTCAGAAAGTTCGGCAGAGGGGTACCTGGGTGGCTCAGTTAGTTAAGTGTCTATCTTTGGCTCGAGTCCTGATTCCAGGTCATGGGATTGAGCTGGGCATCCAGTTCCCTGCTCAATGGAGAGTCTGCTTTTCTCTGCCCCTCCCCCTGCTCATGCTCTCCTTCTCTCTCAAATAAATAGAAAACTAAAAATCTTAAGAAAGTTTGGTGTAAGCAAATTTTTTTTTTGGAGAATTTAGAAAATGACATATTTAGTTTATCTGTACATGAAAAATGTATACGTCTAGGCACTCGGCTGGCTCAGTAGAGCATGAAACTCTTGATCTTGGGGTTGTGAGTTCGAGTCCCACACTGGGTGCAGAGGTTGCTTAAAAATCTTTAAAAAGATGTATAGATATATACATGAAATAATCCATTTGATTCCAATTCTTCTTCTTCTTTTTTTTTTTTTTTTAAGATTTACTTGAGAGAAAGAGAGCATGTGCACATGCACGCACAGGAGTGGGGGCGAGGGGCCCGGGTGGCTCAGCAGTTTAGCGTTGCTTTTGGCCCAGGGCGTGATCCTGGAGACCCGGGATTGAGTCTCATGTTGGGCTCCCTGCATGGAGCTTGCTTCTCCCTCTGCTTGTGTCTCTGCCTCTCTGTCTCTGTGTCTCTCATAAATAAATAAATAAAATCTTTTTTTTTTAAAAAAGGAGTGGGGGCGAGGTGGGACTGGGGGGCAGGTGGAGAGGAAGAGGGAGAGAAGCAGGCTCCCTGTTGAGTTCGGAGCCCCATGTGGGGCTTGATCTCATGAACTTGAGAGGAAGAGTCGGACACTTAACTAAGTTACCCAAGTGCCCCAAGATTACATTTTTAAGGGAGGTAATAATAATAGTACCCTGAATGGAGCACTTACTGTTTTATAGTGCTGTTTTCCATATTTATTTCACTTAATTCTCTCAACAATTTGAGGTAAATACTCTTTATTACCTCCATCTTATAGATGGTGAAATTATTAGGTGACTTTGCTCAAGATCATTTTTTTTTTAAGATTTTATTTATTTATTTATTCATGATAGTCACAGAGAGACAGAGAGGCAGAGACACAGACAGAGGGAGAAGCAGGCTCCATGCACCAGGAGCCCGACGTGGGATTCGATCCTGGGTCTCCAGGATCGTGCCCCGGGCCAAAGGCAGGCGCCAAACCACTGCGCCACCCAGGGATCCCTCAAGATCATTTTTGAAATTAGCAAGAGCCAGAGCGGACAGCTGAACCTAGATTCCTTTTTTTTTTTTTTTTTTTATTGGGTCCAAGTATACCCGACACAGCGGAGCAGGGACTTGGACTGAACCTAGATTCTGACTCTTAGCCATTCTCCTATATTCTCGTCTCTTAACTACTGCCTACTAAGACATACTGCCTCCCTTCAGACAAGGCAGGAAATAAAACCCCACGGGAATTTTCTTTTTGTATTTTTTTCTGTTGTTTGTATTGTTCTCCGTGTATCCAAGATTTGCCTGGAATCCAAATAAAACCAATTGTTCCTGATAAAATATATCAGCTGGCAGTGAACGGGGCTGAGACCAAGGAAAGGAGTTCAGCTAAAGGTAAAATATTTGCTGACACTAGCCTAACATATTTAAATAATTGCCAAGAAATTCTTGTTCTAAAGGCTGAATATAAGTCAGCCAGAGACATTTTAGTGCTGCCCACCAATAAAATAAAAATAATGGCTCTGGGCTGTGGTATCCATACATAACAAGGCACATGTTTACTCAAACAAGTATTTATGTGCCACGCTCCTAACGTATATATCACTAAATCTGTTTCAAATAATGAAATTCACAAGGATATAGACTTTCTAAAATAATGCTTATACCTAGGTTCTCCATCACAAAGTTAAGATCTCTACTGGCTTCAAAACATTTGTGTGTATGGCATAGTGGTAAATGATTATCTAAATTTTCAGAGAGCCTACGGTTTTTTTTTTTATTTTATTTATTTAATTATTCATTTATTCATGAGAGACAGAGAGAGAGAGGCAGAGACACAGGCAGAGGGAGGAGCAGGCTCCATGCAGGGAGCCGATGTGGGACTCAATCCTAGAGCTCCGGAATCATGCCCCGAGCCAAAGGCAAATGCTCAACCACTGAGCCACTGAGGCGTCCCAGAGAGCCTAAGTTTTATAGCAGTCTGCTTGGCCCTGCACTGTGGAATCCTATGTATTCTCAATTAGAACTCAGGACTAGAGTTGCCTAGATCAGTGAAGAAGCCTCTCTTTCCTATTCTTTCCCATCCCATTCATAAACACCAGAATTATATGTGCTGTGTTTTCTTCTTTAAGGTATGTTTCACCTTTAGGAGACAAAAGGGTAAACAATGAAGAAATTAAATTGATATCCCAAAGTGTTATTTTATTCCAGAGAGAAAGAGCAGTATCTATATACACATACTAGAAAATTTCAATATTACTGCTCAATTCTAAGGCAAATAATAATAGCACAGGCATCAATGGAATTAATAAGCATTCACCATGTGACCATGTTTTATGACAAGAGGAAAGCTAAAAATTCCCATATTTCAAAAGCCTACAATCTTGTTGAAAAAGTAAAGCTATCATAATGACTTATCCTAATGAAAAGATTCTTAAGAATTCACCTGAATAAAGCTCTGGGTTGTGGAACTTCTACAGATTCCCCACTGCACTATAGTCTAGCTCACTTTAATGATTCATTAATACCAAATGAGAGTATTCCTAAATGAAGACTGACGCTCCTATTTGGGGTGCCCAAGTAACACTGGAGTTTCAAGTAGAATGTATCTTAAACAATTAAGGTAACAGCATAAAAAATTCCCATTTTCAGGAAAGAGATAATGCATTTTCTCAGATCTCACAAGATTTTTCCCATCAACATTACTCTATCACCAATTTGTTGATCCCATACAATTCCACAGAGAACAGAGGAAAAATCATTCAATCAGTAAGTGTTATCTCACGGTAAGTGTATCAGTAATATAGTCTACATTCAGAAACAATGCTAGACAAGTTAATTTGCTTTGGTTATGCTTCTACTGCCATGTGTTTGCATAATAACCCAGCAATTGGTGTAACAGGAACTGCAAACTAATGGGGACTGATGTGTGGAAAGAAAAGAACTCTGTAACAGGTTATTAGAAATTTTGCATGCTACCTTGAAACTTGCTCCCCTGAAACTTGCTCTGTTTAGATGAACATCTCACCTGATGTTTCATTTAAAAGAAACTGAAACCCAATCCCCCAAGTCCTAGGGCATCTAAGCTGGGTAAACTGCACTGGAGTACTTACCTAGAGCTGTAAAATCTGAGCCAGATTTGAATAGAGCTGAAGCTAGAAGCTGAAACTGTAAAAGAAAAATAGAAGCAAATTAGCTGAGCACATTAGAGAAAAATATCATTTTGGCCATTTATTAGCCACTGTATGTCCCTGAATATGTGCTGCTTAAGTCTATCCACCAAATAGTAGCAAGAACAACATCACATTTAGATTAAATATGCTGATTTTTCTACTGGATTGCTTTCCAAAATACTGGACCACCTCTTGGAATTATTTTATTTTTAAAATTTATTTAAGTATGTATTTGTGAACAAACAACAAAAATTGAGAATATTTAGAACTACTGTATTTAATTTGGGAGAACTATTTATCTTTATTTTGAATGAGGATACTAGAAAATAGGTAAGTTAAAGGACTGAGTAGACCAATGAGTAGAATCTCAATGGAATTACTTAGCATTTTGTAAGACCTAAGTGGTTGATACCACTGATTCCTCAGGATGTATTTTATACCCGTGCTTCCAGCCTTTAAGATTTCAGGTATCACTTACACTAATATTCTGTCATTCTGTCAAGGAGGTGAATGACTGATTTTCAAATGTTAAACCAACCTTATATTCCTAGGATAAACCCTCACTTGGTCATTGTGCATTAACCTTTTTAAATATTGATAGATCTGATTAGCTAAAATTTAACTAAGAATTTTGCATCCACATTCCCAAGTACTGGTCTATAATTTTCTTTGCTTGTAATATTTTTGTCAGGTCTTTAATATCAGAGTCAACTTGCTTCATAACAGGATATATAAAGTGCTCTGTTTTCCCCTGGTTTCTTAGAGTCTGTGAAGAGTTGCTATTTTTACTTCCTTAAATGGTTGACTGAATCTGCTGAGATAGCCATTAAGAACTAGTTTTCTTTGTTAGAAAGTTTTCAGTTACAAATTCAATCTATGTTTGTAATTGATATGGAGTTCCTTAAGATTTTTTTTTTCCTTAAGATTTTCTAATTCCTCCTGTGTTTGTTTTGTTGTGTCTTCCAAGGAATTTGTCTATTTCATCAAGTTGCTCAATTTGTTGACAATTGTTCATAAAACCTTCTTATTCCCTTTTGTGTATATAGGGTCTGTAATGATGCTCACAATTTATATTTTCACTATTATTTTCTTCGTAAGTCTTGCTATTTTATTCATCTTTTCAAAGAACCAACTTTTCACTTTTTAAAATTTATTTTTATTTTTTTTTCGACTTTTCACTTTTTAAACTTTTTCAATTGTTGCCTGTTTCACTAATTTCCTATATTCTATTTATTTGAGGGTTAATTTATTCCTCTTTTCTGACTTGGAAGGTGAAAGATAAACCTACTGGTTCTACATATAGAACACTAGGGCAAAAACCATTATTTTAATAATCTGATTAAGTGGAATTGATATGTACTAGCCTAGGATTTTAACAGGTATCAAGTGATATTACACAATCTGAGTAAAGCCAGACTTGAATATCCAACTATCACCTCAATGTATAAAGTTGGCTGATTCACAGGCATCTCAAACTGAAGATATCCAACATTATACTCCTGATCCCAGTCAGGAGTCCCCACCCACAACCACAAACTGGGTCTACGCAGATCCTCAATTCAATTGAAAGTAACTCCATCCACTAAGGCTAATAACTTTGGAGTCATTTCTTTCAAACCCTACATCCAATCGATCATAAAATTCTGTTGGTTCTTTTTTATAAAGTTTTTTAAAAAATATTTTATTTATTTATTCATGAGAGACACACACAGAGAGAGGCAGAGACACATGCAGAGGGAGAAGCAGGCTCCATGCAGGGAGCCCGATGTGGGACTCACGCCCTGAGCCAAAGGCAGGCGCCAAACCGCTGAGCCCCCTTTTTAAGTTTTTATTTAAATTCCAGCTAGTTAACATACATTGTAGTATTAGTTTCAAGTATACAATATAGTCATTCAACGTTCCCATACATCACCCAATGCTTATCACAAGTGCATTCTTTAATTCCCATCACCTATTTAACTCATACCCCTAATCCTGGTAACCACCAGCAGTTTGTTCTCTATAGGTAAGAGTGTGTTGGGGCATCTGGCTGGTTCAGTTGGTAGAGTGTGCAACTCTTGCCTTAGGGCTGTAGGTTTGAGCCCTACGTTGGGTGTAGAGAGTACACTAAAAAGTCTGTTTCTTGGTTTGCCTCTTTTTTTACTCCTCTTTGCTCATTTGTTTTGTTTCTTAAATTCCACATGAGTGAAATCATATGGTATTTGTCTTTTTCTGAGTTATTTCACTTAGCATAATACTCTCTGGTTCCATCCATACCATGGCAAATGACAAGATTTCTTTCTTTTTTTTTGGCTGAGTAATATTCAATTGTGTGTGTATGTATCATTAATCAATGGACACTTGAGCTATTTCCATAATTTGCTTATCAGTAGATAATGCTGCTATAAACACTGAAGTGCATGTATCCTTTTGAATTAATGTTTTTCTATTCTTTGTGTAAATACCTAGGAATGCAATTGCTGGATTGCAGAGTAGCTCTATTTTTCACTTTTTGAGGAACCTCCCTACTGCTTTCCATAGTGGCTGCACCAGATTGCATTCCCACCGTTGGTTCTATCTTCTATATACATATTGAGAATCTGCTCTACTTTACTTCTCACTATTTCTACTGCTGCTACTTTGGTGTGCACTACAATAATCCCTTACTTAGATTTCTACTATCTCCCTTATAGGTTACTCTGCCTCCATTCTTACTCTCCTTTAGTCTATTGTCAATATGGCAGTCAGAGTGTCTTAGATCTTAGCGATCTTAGTCAGGTAAGACACAAAGCAGATCACATCACTCCCCTGCACGATATCCTGAACTGGCTCCTTATTCATTCAGAGTGAAAACAGAAGTCCTAACACTGCCTCCCGAAGTCATTCACAATCGATCTCCCAATCCCTGCTATTACCTCTCTGACTACTCTTATCATTCTTACTTCTATTCCAGCTACAGTAGCCTCCTTGCTGTTTGTTCTCCTAAACAAAGCCAGAATGCTCCCACCCTCGGGTCTTTGGTTCTAGTCCTCCCTTTGCCAGGAATTATCTTCCCCAAATTATCTTAGATCATTCCCTCATACCTTTCAAGTCTTTGTGTACATCTCATTTCTAAATGAGGCTTATTAAGAGCATCCTATTTAATATGGCAACTGTCCATTCTCACCCCTTCTAATTCTGATCTCCCTTTACTTTTTTATCTCTCTTTAATTTTCCCATACCTATCAATATTAATGTACTATATAAATTGCTTATTTAATATGTTTATCATCTCTCATCACTAGTAGTAAGTACCAACGCACGCAGGTATTCTGTTTGGTTCACTAATATATTTCCTGTGTCTAGAAGAATGCCTGGCATATTGAAGGCGTTCAATACACATCTGTTAAATGAATGACACCAGTACTTTGGAAGCTCAGCAGAAATATAATTAATACAAAATGTGCAATACTGGCTCAAAACTTGTTTTTCTCATTCCTTCTTTATTATAGAATCCTCTCTGAAAATGGCAGAATTAATTTAGGCAACCTTTTCCTGGCCTTTTCTAGAAAAAAAAATCATTTCTGTAAGTTTTATCAGCAGTGCATTTCCAATTTAGAATCCACATTCTGAAGAATGAAGGAAAGCAACGGATCATTATTTGGTATACAGCTGGTAGTCCACCATCATTTTTCCAATAATAGGCACAATGATGATTATCATCCTGATAACTAGCCTCCCAAAAAGAGAAAAATCTAAAAACTACTTCTAGTTGCTGATACAATCATTTAATATAATAAAATTTTGTAAAATATACAAAGAGAACAAAAACAAGCTTCTGCAGAAAACAAGTAACAGTAAGGTATTTTTTGGAAGTAGAATGGTATCTCATAAGGAAAGTGAAGATCTATATACCTCACTAACAAATACTGTAAGTATATATTCTAAAACAGTCATCAAGGGATTTCTTCTCCCAAAACAAAATCCATCTACACATTTTTAAACAAAATAATAATCTCACAGACCAGTACTCCTCAAAGTTAGGAGTGTTTTCTGTTACATAAGAGCAGATGAGAGAATCTTAGGGTGAGGATATCATTTTGAAGAAGTCTCTGGGGGTGATTCTGATGTTGACACACACATGCATAGCATCATTTTAACGAATTTATATTAGGGCTAAACAACTCTTGATAGATAAAGTTTTTAAGAAATGGAAGTCTGTGGCATACAAAATCGTAATTTCAAACTACCAAGAAAGGAAAAAAAAAGAAACCTGCTACCAAAATTTTTAAAATGGCTCTGTTTGAACCTGACACACCTTCCACCTTCCTGTCCTGGTTTTTCCCATTAGCTTAGCTTTAAGAACAAACCGCCTGTTTTCTTTGGCCTACTTGCAGCTCACACAGCTGAATTTATTTACTTTGCAATATTTTGTTTTGTTTCAGTTTTAAAAAGTAAGAGAAAAATGAATGTTCCCAGGTTACAGACATTTTAGATAGACTGGAAAAAACAAGGAAATCTATTCATAACTTTCAAATGCATGGTCTAATAAAATGAACATTAAGAGACTCTTTACAACTATGTTCAGTTATAAGCCATAAAAGATAAAACCAAACATAATCTGCTACTTGGCAAAACTACGATAATTTCCCCAATTTAAGTAGTATCATGAATGGACTCAAGATTCAAGGAGAGACAATTAATTAACTGTCCCCCCCTTCAGGGGGTTCTGAAGCATGTTCTACTGATTCTACACCTAGGGAAGGGTTATAACCAATACTGAGTAAGAACAATCAGACTTATTCTCACAGGCAACTATGAAAGAGAATCTCTTTGTTTTGGTGCCAAGGATATGCAGGCTCTACTGATTAAAAGTACAATGAACTTGGTACCTGAAAAGTGATGTAACATTAAATCTGAAACCTGGGTCATTGCTGAACAACAAAAAAGCACTGTTTGATGTTGTTATTACAAAGCCAAAGCAACAGAGAACTGGGAAATAGATGGTAGGGACAGAACTATATATCATCAGCACCAATTCTGTGAGTGGAAGGTAAAATGCATTGCAGTTTAGATGTTGCTAGACGAACTATGAACAAGGATGCTTGGCAGAAGTTAAAAGTGACAAAGGTATCTCAGAGGTTAGAGAAAGACAGGAAACTCACTGCAGGGGAATTCACACACTGGAGATAAGCAAATATGCCCTAAAAATATTACATCTTTTAGATGTAATTTTGTAACAAGAAACCCCTGAAAAGTAATGATGAAGAAATTAGTATTAATGCTATTACTAGCATTTACTTGGTAGCATTACTACTAAGTTCTCAAGATTAGGGACTCCTGATGAATGAAATCAGTAGACTGTAGTTGAACCATCCTGCTATAACAGTCATATAACTAAATATCAAGATAGCAGGGATTCTACTCTTATCAACCTCTCTTCACTTTCTCCCTACAAAAGAAGAGATTTTGCTTTCTTCTCTATGGGATTTTGAAGTATCAACAGAAAAGTTTATATTGAGCCATTATGTAATCCTTAAGTGAAAGAAGCATGGGACTACAGAAGTAAAAATTTCTATTTCTTTCCCAACATACAAAACTAATGCTGAAGTTAAAACTTTAAATGTGAGAATCCTTTTCTGAATGGATCAAAGCCTTTCTGTGTGACCTGAACCTTTTATCTTCACATGAAAGTAAGCCTATTCAATTTTTATTTCATCTGCTCTGTGCTACTCTAAAGATTATTAGTGCCATCGTATTTTCCTTTAAATATCTAAGAGAGAAATCAGCAAGTAAGAGACTTTTTTTTCATGCTCATTTTCTGAAGTTTATTACCACCTTTACCTCTTTTGTCTCTTCTGGGTCTGAATGATCCACAGTTATATAGAGATCATTTTGTAAGTATTTCAGAGCGCTAAGGGGATCCATCTGGGCCTTTTCTTCAAACCTAGAAAATGTAAACAAGAATAATAATTGTCTGGAGGTATGAAAAAACATCAGAAATGTCATTTAGACCTGCAGTGGAATACTCTGAGGAGTCATTGTGGATATCTAAAAAAAAAAAAAGCAAAAACAAACAAACAAACAAAAAAACCACAACCTGTGTTTGGGAATTCAGAAGTAAGAATACTGCCATGGAGACAGTGTAGCTGCAGAGTCCCTGGAGATGTAATGGTAATGCCAGGTGGTCATAGGCAGTCATGGTGCTTGAGACTGGGTAGGAGCACTTCCTACACTCCTCTTAAAACTACAAGCTAAGATTAAATCAACTACAAAACACAGTGAACATGTCAAATATTTTATATAACAGAACTGCATAAGAGCCAAATATGTTTCATAAAAAACAGGCAGAGATAAAATAAAAATACTGGGTTAGATCTGTGTAATATACATTCTACCAGAGGTGCTTAACAGGTACCTTAGAAACAGAAATTAGTAGTTTCTTTTCAGGAGTATCTTTTTTTTTTTTTAAGATTTTATTTATTCATGAGAGACACAGAGAGAGAGAGAGAGAGAGAGAGAGAGAGAGAGAGACAGAAACACAGGCAGAGGGAGAAGCAGGCTCCATGCAGGGAGCCTGACGTGGGACTCGATCTGGGGTCTCCAGGATCAGGCCCTGGGCTGAAGGCGGCGCTAAACCGCTGAGCCACCTGGGCTGCCCCTCTTTTCAGGAGTATCATTAACACTGATTAAAATATATATTTTTTAAACTGATTAAATATTTTTATAAGATTATTTCCTATCTCAGTCAATGATCAACAAAAACAACGGTAGCAACCACTTATCAAGTATGTAATGTGCTAGACACTGTATCATGTATTTTACAAATATTAATTACTTCATTGATCCCTGCTCTAATGACAATAAGTTTAGCATCATTTAAAAAAAGAAATGAGAAACTGAGGCTCAGACAATGAACTTGGCCAAGATAAGAGCTAAAAAGTGGCAGAGGTAGAATCAAACACAGATCTATTGGAGTCCAAAGCTGAAAAGAAACAGTTATTTCTCTTAAAAAAAAAAAAGTCTGCTTGGAACTGTTTATCTATTTAAATAAGATACTGTCCTTTTGTTATGGCATAATTATATGTGGATTTATTTGTAGTAAGTTGGTATGCTTTTCAAAATATTGTACAGAGAGAAAGAAAAGAAGACATTTAGTTTCACTTGGGAAAGGAAAATAATGAGCCTCTCACAATAGTGTTCAAGCTGATGGCATCCATAATATCCTGTCTTTAGAGTTAATCTCAGAGATAGAGTACCTGTATTTCAAGCAGGGCAAAGACTAGCAAAATATTACAGCTTTATTGTATCGGATAGTAACACTGACAGTCAACTAGCCTTCAAGCCCTCAAATGAGAGAATTCCTTAGGCAGAGGTCATATTACTCTATTATCTTGTCCAAAATTGGTTAGACTCTTTCACTCTCTGTGTGTTTCTCATGAATAAATAAATAAATCTTAAAAAAAAATTGGTTAGACTAGTTTTGGCACCTAAGACAAAAGCAATCCTCTTAAGCTCACTCAGCAGTTTATTAAGCAGCCTGGCAGAATTATTCCCAATAGGGATACTCTCTCCAGGTAGCCCTCTCTAAGACGACACTCTCTTAGAGAATCTGAACATGAGAAACACAAGGGCTTAAAAGGCACACAAAACACAGAAGTCAGTACACAGAAGACATGAGATGGTAGGTACATTCCTTCCCTTCCTATCCCACTTTTCTTTCCTTTCCTCCTATCTATCTACCTACTTATTTACCAAAGCCACATGTATCTATCTGTCTGTCTGTCTTTGGAAGTATGAGGTTGAGGGAAAGCAGAGTCTGGAGTGAGAATCCATCCCAGGACCCTGGGATCATGACCTGAGCTGAAGGCAAACGCTCAACCACTGAGCCACTCACAGGTACTCTTTTAATATGAAATTAAAAATTAAAAGGCAGGGGGATCCCTAAGTGGCTCAGCGGTTTAGTGCCTGCCTTTGGCCCAGGGTGTGATCCTGGAGACTTGGGATCAAGTTCCACGTCGGGTTCCCGGCATGGAGCCTCCTTCTCCCTCTGCCTGTGTCTCTGCCACTCTCTCTCTCTCTGGGTCTCTCATGAATAAATAAATAAAATCTTAAAAAAAAATTAAAAAGGTAATTTTCATGATCCATTCAATTTATATAAAGCAACTTCTATCTATTCTGCCTGCAATGTAGCAATATTCCTCAAACTCTTGAATTCATCTAAGCGTTGGTAGAAAAAAAGGTCTATGTCATTTCAAATATTTAAAAAGGGCCAAGAGTGCCTGGCTGGCTTAGTCAATGGAACATGTGATTCTCTGGTCTTGGGCTGTGAGTTCAAGCCCCACACCGGTGGTAGAGATTACTTAAAAATAAAATCTTCAAAAATAAATAAAAATTAAAATTAAAAAGTAAATAAGTAAAATGGGCTTTCTACTATCAGTTCAGATTAGTACTAGACAAGATTCTAAGATGCCCTAGCAGTTATCACTGACTGCTCTTCTCTCATACCCATATACAATCCATCATGAAATTCCGTTGGTACAATCTTCAGTTTATATCCAGAATCTTACTGGGCTTTCTTGATCTCTTTCATGGAATGTCTCTTCCTCTGTATTCCCTCAAATGGTGGTTGGTCATCAGATAATACCAACATCTCTCTACTCTTCTCACTCTCTATAAGTAAGCTCCTTTTCTTGTTGATGACTCACAAATATAATAATTGGCCCATGCCTTTCCTCCAAATGCTAACACATAATCTTTAAAACACAGTGCATCAAACTGAACTCATCCTTCCCAACACACAAACCTGTTGTTTCTGAAGAATTCCCCATCTAACTGAAAACAGTCATAACCTTTTTTTACTGAGTTCTTTTGGAAGAAAACCTAGAATGGTTTTCTATTAACAGAGAAATCTGGGTGTGTTATTCCTCTGCGTAAAATCTTTCAATGCTCTCCTTTCACTCAGAGTAAAAGCCAAAGAAATTGTGATATGGTAAAGGAAAAGTCTAATAATTTATACTACATGGATTTTATGTATTTCTACTCTATATAAAATATAATATATATAATTATGTATATAAAAAATAAAAATATAATAGACCCATAAACATGTGCAGATGTATGTGTGCATGTGTGGTGGTGACGGTGGTGAAGTGATGAATGCTGGAGTCACAATACTTAGGACCATCTCCTGGCTATGCCACTTTTGGCTTAGTGACCCTAGATGAATTATGTAACCTATTTAAAAATACTCATTTCTTCTTTTATGAAATAGTGTTAAGAATAGTACCTTACTTAATTGCCTTATGGTAGGAATAATATGCAAGATCTAGCACACAAAAATTGCTCAATAAATCATAGTTATTATCATTAAAGGCTAACCTTCTCCTTCCAAACTGTAAATTTTTCTTACCATCAAGTATTATCAATAACTAAAAGGAGATATGCTTTTCTATATTTTTCCGTGTCTTATCACCTGCTAGGGCTAAAAAGCAAGCATAATCCAGGAAATCTATATGAAAATGTTTGATTACATGATTTTGCAATTAAATGGTAAAAGTAATGAAGTAAAACCAAAATCATATTTGAAGTTGTATTCTGAAACATCAGATTAGAAAGATACTGTTTAGTCAACTATATCATCGTATTCACTGTTAAGAAAGTTATCAACAGGCTAGGCATTTAGCAATAGTAGAGAGCTGATATAATCTATAGTGATTAGGCCTTGAGTTACTGGAAGCACCTTCACAGAAATTTCTTCCATTTAACAGGTGCAAAATCTCCTTCTATATCTAGACAATTTTAGCATCAATATGTATATTTACTTTGTATCTTCCTTTGAAAGAAGAAAGCAAAAATAAGGAAAATCACAGGGCATTTACAAAAGTCATCTTTACAGTATTTACACTGTCATATTAGTAAATTTCCAAAGGCAAAAAAGTTCTATCTCCAAAGTTGAAGTAATACCAACAATAGCTGATAATTTAAAAAAAAAGTTTTCAGTATAATATTTTTATACCTGTGTTTTCTTATCAGGTACTTGCAGTGTCTGAGTAAGTAATCTTTTGAAGGCCTACACAACTTCAGTGACCAGAAGTCATCTAATCTCATCTTTGGGGAGCAAGATTTTCCTGGATTCCCACCAAATAAATAATGAACCTAAAATAAAACAAGCCACATTTTAAGATGCATGCATACTTAGGAAACTATAGAAGTCATAATAAAATTTCTTCATTTTGGTAGCAATGTGTAACAGTAATAATTAAAACATTATTGCATTTCTACCAAAGGCTTCTTTTGATGTTTCTCACTTCCATTTTACTTTAAAGTACTGTGGCTACTTCCTTAAACTGCATTTCATATTAAAGATGAGTTGTATTACCACAATTATACTGACAATGGAAGACATGAAACAAAAGCAATGATAGTAAAAAGCTAATCCACAATACAGAGTTTACTTAGGGCAACAAATAATGGGGATTATTAAGTTAACCAAGCGTCAATCATAATAACAAACAAGATCTTTAATAAAACTGACATACATGCTGAATCACTGAAGGTGAATAGTAACTAGAAACTTTTTAAATTTTAGCATCTTACTTTGCTTTAGGCTTACTGCCAAATGTTAAATGGTACATATAATTTGTGATATAACTTTTAAAATATTACATTATTCAATACCCCAAAAAGGGAATGCAATTTCATTGGTATAATTTTAGTGATATTCTGTACTTAAAGTGTTAAAATAGTTCCTGAAGTTTTGAAAATCAATAATGTTATACAACAGCTCTATTATTTCTATCCTATAGATGAAAATTCATTTACCCTTTAATTTGGGAGACTCTAAGAGAAAGCACATTTATTCACTCCTATGGTATCATTTAACCTAAAGGTCTCAAGTGATATGGAATTTAAATAATCACCTATGGCCTATACAGAAAGAATACAAGCTTTATCAATAAGTTATTATATAATCTGAGCCCAACCACGAACCTGTATGTAAAGTTTTTGGGAGACATAGTTTAAAGAAATCACCCTTAACATTTAGTGACCCTAAAACTTGAGAATGCAGGACTGTTTTTGTGAGGCCAATTGAAAACACATGTCACTCATAGACAGGAAATATAAAGATAAAAGACTTCTTACACAATGGGAAAATCTAACCTGAGCTGAGATCAAGAGTTTGAGGCTGGAACAGCTGAGCCCCCCAGGCACCCCTGCTTCTACTTTCTTAGAAGTCTCTCCCTGAGCTGGTGGTAGAGCATTCCTACCACTTTAGGTTTGGTGCTGCCTGATTCTCATCACTTTTTACTCAAATACACTCTTAAAATGTTAAAAAAAAAAAAAAAAAGGAAAATCTAAAATTGGAAGTTACGTATATTTTTTCATATCATGGGACAAGGTATCCTAATGCTAAAAACCGTGTATTTTTTAGTTGGACATTCATATTTCCCAATACAGGCATACCTCAGAGAAGTTGTATGTTCAGTTCCAGACCACCACAAAAAAGCAAATACTATAATTGAGTCAAAGGAATTCCCTTGTTTCCCAATGCATGTATCTGATCTACGCAGTTACAAAACAAAGTAGAAAAGTGCCAGAACTTTGGACTATGAGAAATGTTTATTCTCTTAAGGAATTTTAGGAAGAAATGATATCGAATGTCTGCTACATATTCTATGAATCTCTACTATGTATAACTTTTTATTCAAATCCACTTAAAAATAATCAGAAACATCTATTTTGGGATTCTTTCAGATTATAGGTCTTGGAAAGTTTACAAGTTGATGTAGTTAGGGTACCTTGTGTAACTCATCATATACAAGCTGATGGGCAAATCTTGGACATGGTTCTTCCTCCTGTAGACTTTTACTTGGATTATCCTTTGCAGCTTGATCATTCTTATAGACGCAAGACCTGTAAGACATTGCTTTTTAAGACACTGCTATTCTAAAAAATTAGCAGCATAATGTTAATACAACTTTAGCAAGCAAATTAATTGGATGTCTAATTACCAACAAAAAATTTATAAATTTGTTCACATCAAATCTTAAAATTTCTGGTCACTCTCACACAATAATGCAAATTTGTTAGAATGAAGTTCTTACATTCTTTTAATGTCCATCCAAAACCTCACTTAAGAACTACCTACTTCATGTTATAAAACACAGACAGCATATATGAAGGCCCAAACCAAAGTGTCAAAGACAAGATAATCCCATTTATTTAGTCACAATAAAAAAACCTCACAGATTTCTTTCAGTTTTACTGCTTAAAATAAATGTCCTACTTAGGAAATAATAAATTCCTTAGTTGCTGCATGGAGGAAGTTCTCTCAAGTGCCTGTTTTGTAAAATATCCACTTATGCAGTAATCACAGAATATCAGACCTGGGTTCTCTAGACCATTGTTTTCCAAAGCAAAATGTGCAACACTGGTTCTATGAGATGCTCTGTGACAAAAAGGTCCTAGTTTGAAAACACTAGACAATGGCCTCCACCCTGCTCTAGTGAAATCAGTTCATTTATCCAAACTAAGACCACCTAGAGGAGAAGGGAAGGAAAAATAAGATAAAAATAGGGAGGGAAGCAAACCATAAGAGACTCTTAAATAGAGAGAATAGAGGTCTGCTGGAGGGGAGGTGGATGGGGGTGTGGGGATGGTGATGACCTAAATGGGTGATGGGCATTAAGGAGGGCACTTCGGAGGAGCACTGGGTGTTATATGTAAATGATGAATCACTCCTAGAATTTAGGAGTAAATTCTACTCCTAAAACCAATACTACACTATATGTTAAATAACTTGAAATTGAATTAAAAACAAAACTAAACTAAGACCACCTGGGAACATTAAAAAAAAAAGTTCTCAATTTTACATATCTACCTGGTAGCAAAATCTAGACTAAAATACAGTTCTCTTGTCTTCCAGACCAGGTGATTCCTGGATTTTATTCAGAGGTAAAATCCATTCACTGAACATCACTGCATACATGGGCATCAATATTAACTTCTTTTCCCAATACAGGCATACCTCAGAGAAGTTGTGCATTCATTTCCAGACCACCACAATAAAGCAAATACTGTAATTAAGTGTAATTAAGTGTAATTAACTGTAATTAAGATTTTTCTTAACAGGGCAGCCTGGGTGGCTCAGCAGTTTAGTGCCACCTTCAGCCCAGGGCGTGATCCTGGGGACCTGGGATGGAGTCCCACATCAGGCTCCCTGCATAGAGCCTGCTTCTCCCTCTGCCTGTGTCTCTGCCTCTCTCTCTGTCTCTCATGAATAAATAAATAATCTTTTTTAAAAAAAAGATTTTTCTTAACATTTTCTTTCTTCTATCTTACTTTATTGTAAGGATACAATATATAATACATATAAAATATGTATTAGTCAACTGTTTATGTTACTGACAAGGCTTCTGATCAACAGTAGCCTATTTGGGTTTTTAGGGAGTAAAGTTACACATGGATTTTCAACTGTGTGAGGGTTGGCACCCCTAAGGCCTGTATTGTTCAAAGGGTCAAGTGTAATGAAATTGGCTACATAAACTGACTCCCTTTCATGAACTATTTCTCTTTGTTATACAATGCTGTCTGACAACATTTTACCCTTTAGTATAGTATAACTTCTTTCAAACCCTGCCACTGCTTTATTAACTAAGGTTATGTAATATTCTAAATCCTTTGCTATCATTTCTACAGTCTTCAGAGTTTCGACCAGAAATAGATTCTATCTCAAGAAACCACTTTAGTCACATTGTTAGGATCTACTTCTAAGTCTAGTTCTCTTACTCTTTCCATCATGTCTGGAGTTACTTCCTCCACTAAAGTCTTGAACCTCTCAAAGTCTTCCAGGAGGAAGGTTGGAATCAACTTCTTCCAAACTCCTGTTCATGTTGTATTTTGACCTTTTCCCACAAATCTGAATGCTCTTCATGGTATTTAGAACAGTGAATCTTTTCCAGAAGATTTTCACTTTCTTTGCACATATCCATCAGAGGAATCATAATCTATGGGAGCCATAATCTTATGAAATGTGTTTCTTAAAAAAGATGACTTCACGGGTCGCCTGGGTGGCTCAGTGGTTAAGTGCCTGCCTTTGGCCCAGGGAGTGATGCTGCAGTTCCAGGATTAAGTCCCACATCAAGCTTCCTGCATGGAGCCTGCTTCTCTCTCTGCTTGTGTTTCTGCCTCTCTGTCTGTGCCTATCATGTATAAATATATAAAATCTTTAAAAAAAGACGACTTCAAAGTTGTAATGAATCCTTGATTCACAGGCTACAGTATGATTGCTGTTAGCAGGCATGAAAACAACATTAATCTCATTCTATATCTCCATTAGAGTTCTTGAATGACCAGGTGTGTCCTCAACAAGCAGTAATATTTTGAAATGAATCTTTTTTCCTCAGCACTAGGTTTCAACAATGGGTTTAAAATATTCAGTAAACCATGTGGTAAACAGATGTGCTGTCTTCTAGGCTTTGTTTTTCCATTTATAGGGCACAGGTACACTAGAGTTAGCATAATTTTTAAGGGCCCTAGGATTTTCAGAATGATAAATGAACACTATCTTCCACTGAAAGTCATCAACCGCATTAGCCCCTAACAAGATAGTCAGCCTGTCCTTTGAAGCTCTGAAGCCAGGTATTGATTTCTCCTCCCTAGCTATGGAAGCCCTCAATGGCACCTTATTCCAAAATAAGGCTATTTCATCTACAATGAAAATCTGCTGTTCAGTATGGTCATCTTCATTAATGATCATAGTTAGATCTTGCTAAGATAACTTGTAACTTCTACATCAGCACTTAGATATTACCAAGACAGCTTCTTTCCTTAAACCTCAGGAACCAACCTCTGCCAGCTTCAAACTTTCCTTCTGCAGCTTCCTTACCTCTCTCTGCCTTCACAGAATTCAAGAGATAGGGCCTTGCTCTGGAGCAAGCTTTGGCTTAAAGGAATGTGGCAGGTTTGACCTTCTATCTAAACCACTAAAACTTGCTTCACATCAGGAATAAAGCTGTTTTATTTTCTTATCAATCATGTGTTCATTGGAACAGCACTTTTTAAAATTTTTTTAAAATTTTTTTAGCACTTTTTTTTTAAAAAACATTTTATTTATTTATTTGATAGAGAGAGAGTGAGCACAAGCAGGGGGAGTGGAAGAGGGAGAAGAAGGCTCCTCATTGAGCAGGGAGACTGACGCCGGGCTTGATCCTAGGACCCCAGGATCATGACCTGAGCCAAAGGCAGACACTTAACCAACCATGCTACCCAGGCGCCCCTGGAACAGCACTTTTAATTTCCCTCAAGTACTTTTCCTTTGCATTCACAACTTGGCTGTTTGGCACAAGAAGTTTAGCTTTCTCCCCTTAACTTGAACACTTGGGAGGCCTTTGTAGGGTTATTAACTGGCCTAACTTCAATATTGTTATATCTCAGGGAATAGGAAGGTCTGAGGGGAGGGAAAGAGATGAGGAAACAGCTGGCTAGTAGAATGGTCAGAACACATACAATACTTATAAATTAAGTTCACCATCTCATATGGGCACAGATCATGATGCCCCCAAAACAATTACAACAGTAATATCAAAGATCACCGACCACAAATCACTATAACGAATATAACAATAATGAAAAGATTTGAAATACTGTGAGAATTATCAAAATGTGACGTACAGACATAAAGTGAGCAAATGCTGCTGGAAAAATGGCGGTGACAGGCTCAACACAAAGTCGCCACAAACCTTCAACTTGTAAAAACTGCAACATGTGCAAAGTGCAATGAAGCAAAGTGCAATAAAATGAGGTATGCCTGTATTGACATTTAAATGGACGGTATCACAAATTAATGTAAGCCTTCCATTTCTGTCTTCTTTTGAAGAAACTACCAACCTTGAGTAAGTGTTACACTGGGAATGTGACACAGACAAAAACTCCTTACCAACTATTCCTCACAATGTCATAAATCCAGAATGAATTTCTGACATTCTCCTCCCGCTTTTCCTTGTCTTTGCTGAGTCCAGATAGGACATGTATTTCATTCAGTTCTGGATCAATGGTTGCTCTCTGTGTGAATCCTGTCATTGGAACTATAAATTGAGAAAGAAAATAAGATGATACCATTCATGTTAAATAACACAGTAGAACCACTGTATAAGATACATCTTTGCCCTGCTCTCCCCATATCCATGGCACTTACCTTTTAACATACCAGAGAACTTTTATATTACAGAACAAATCATTGTTAATTGCATTCTCCCCACTCTAGAATGTAAGCTCTACAAGGGCAGAGGTAGTTTGGTTCACTACTTAGTTCCCAATGCCTAGCAAATAGTTACCCAATTTTGTTGAAAGAATAAATGAATGCTAACTACCAGAAAGGAGCTATAGTGAGAGAAAAAGTAGAAAGAGGCATGCAATGTAATCATTTTTATTGAGAGAAGAAAGGTCAGTGCTTTAATTAACTGATTTTTTTATCTGGGCCAGCTCTAATTTAATAGTAGAGGTAAAATATTCAAATGTTGACCTGGAAAAACACAAATCTGACAAAGTGAAACACAGGTTTGTTTAATAAGGTCAGGGTCATTTACATTATCTGTTCATGACATACAATGAAATGACATAATTTCCAAGTAAAAATAAAACATTTTGGGGTATAATATGCCATTTTGCTTTCCTTAATGGCTCAAATTGCCCAGAGTTAATAACATATTTTTTTAAGATTTTATTTATTTAAGAGAGTGTGAATGAGACAGAGAGGGAGAGCATGAGCTGGGGGAGGAGCAGAGGGAGAAGTAGACTCCCTCCTGAGCTGGGAGCCCAACGTGGGGCTCAATCTCCAGATTCTGGGATCATGACCTGAGCTGAGGGCAGATAGTTAACTGACTGAGCTACCCAGGTACCTCAATAACATATTTTTCTAAGAAGTCCATTAAATGAGTGATTGTGATTCTGCATCATCCAGTAATTTGCAAAAACACTAACACAGTGAATGCAAATTTTTCTTTTTTTTTTTTTTAAGTTTTTTTTTATTTACTCATGAGAGACACAGAGAGAGGCAGAGGCATGGGCAGAGGGAGAAGCAGGTTCCCCACAGGGAGCCTGAAGAGGGAGTTGATCCCAGGACCCTGGGATCATGACCTGAGCCAAAGGCAGATGCTCAACCAGTGAGACACCCAGGTGCCCTGAATGCAAATTTTTCTTGTCTTCATTAAATGGAAATATTAGTTGAAATGTAATTTTGTGGATCATGACATATTGCAGTGAATCTAATATAATGTCATTGTTTCAACACTACATGTCTTTTTTTTGTTTTAAGATTTATTTATTTATTCATGAGAGACACACAGAGAGAGGCAAAGACAAAGGCAAAGGGAGAAGCAGGCTCCTCGCAGGGAGCCCCATGTGGGACTTGATCCCTGGCCCCTGGGATCACACCCTGAGCCAAAAGCAGATGTTCAATGCCTGAGCCACCCAGGGGTCCCAACATATTTCTTTTATACATGAACAAGCATCATATACTCAAAACGCTAAACAAGTATCAACTGAAGTACAATATTTCAATCAATCCAGAATATTATGGCAGGAGACGCTAGCCACATTGATCTTCATTTGTCTTTATCTACTTTAGCAGGGCCAAATAATCCAGCATTTATTTTTTTCCTAGTTTACTTAAATTTGTGCGTCCTTTCACATTCCTATTCAAAAAATTTGTTTGGAGTATTTTTTTTTAAGATTTTATTTATTTATTCATGAGAGACACACACAGAGAGAAGCAGAGACACGGGCAGAGGGAGAAGCAGGCTCCATGCAGGGAGCCAGAATCGGGACTTGATCCCGGGTCTCCAGGATCACATCCTGGGCTGAAGGCGGCACTAAACCGCTGAACCACCTGGGCTGCCCTAGATGAAGTATTTTAGAGACTATCCAAATGCATTCTATTGTAAATATCCTAAAAATAATAAACACACACAAAACAAATGTTTATATTTATACACATATACACATCACCTAATCTTAAGAATAATCTCAACTCTCATGCCATAGTCTTTAGTGGTTATGTAAAGTCTGATATTTTCCTAATGACACTTGGTAAACTTTCTAAAGTGCCAAGGTTCTGCCTTCTGTTCCTCAGATAATCTTGGAAGAAAGATAAAATAGTAAAGAAACAAAATCACTTTTGCTAGTGGTGGAAGTAGAGAACATAACTGTATTGCATTTAGAATTTATCGTATTTAAATTTTTTCATTCCTTTCATCTTAATACTGAGCCTTTCTATTAAGAATTCTCTAAGATAGGCTGGCAAACTATGGCTTGATTTGGCCTGCCTAGAGTCAAACCAGCCCTCCTCCATTCATCAACATTTTGTCTGTGGTTGTTTTCACCCTACCATGCAAGGCTGAACACCTGCAACACTGTATGTATGGCCTACAAAACTGAAAATATTTACGTCTGGCTCTTCATATAAAAAGTGTGCTGACCTCTGTTCTATAATCTTTTAAAATGTAAATATGAGAAATGTATGACTTATAAAGTAATGCAACAACCCATTTACCTGAGGAAATGGAAATTTTGGGGTGGAATAGAAATCAGTAGAGGGGGAAAGAAATTTTGAATTCTATAAAATGGGAGTGGAGTCATCAAAGGAGTATTGGGCTGAGGGAAGCATGTGAGTATGTGGACGAATGCCAAAACCAAATTTTGCATACTTGTCTTGTCACATTTTGCCCAAAAGTAGTTGAAGAGCAACAGAGAAAAATGATAAGGATTGCCTTTCAAAAATAGTGAGAGGTTTACAATACTCAGGGATATCATGCTTATAAAATCTATCGTATAGGTGTTATAAAACATTACTTTGATTATAAAGCATACTAGAAACTATATATTTCCCATTTCTTTGATATTCCATATCCAATATGCTTTTCACTCTCTATATATTTTTTAAGATTTTATTTATTCATTCATGAGAGACAGAAAGAGAGAGAGAGATGCAGAGACACAGGCAAAGGGAGAAGCAGGCTCCACGCAGGGAGCCCAACGCGGGACCTGATCCTGGGACTCCAGGACCACACTCCGGGCCAAAGGCAAGCACCAAACCGCTGAGCCACTCAGGGATCCCCTCACTCTATATTTAACATTGATTTTACCTCCCAGATACACGTTCAAATCTCTTCTTGCCCTTTAAACAGCTTTACAAAGAGGTAATTCATATACCATACAATTTACCCACTTAAGTGTACAGCTTGGTGTTTTTTAGTATATCCACTGTAAAATCACAATCTAACTTTGGATCACTTATAATACAGAAATCAGATCTATGTGTCCCAAAGGTTTTTGAAGGTCAACCTAGGAACTTAAATAGCAGTTAAGTATTGGAAACAAAACAGGAGTAGAAAATCTTGGTTTAGTCTAGACTTTCTCAATTCACTGTGATTTCATGCAAGAAACTTTTTACTTTTTTCCAAGTTTTTGTTTGTTTGTTTTTTAGTAATCTCTACACCCAATATGGGGCTTGAACTCACAACCTTGAGATCAAGAGTCACATACTCTTCCGACTGCCCAGCCAGGCACCCCTTTGCAAGAAACTTTTAGACTTCAGTTTTCTTATCCAAAAATTGAAACTGGAGCTAAATAATGTACTGGGTCTCTTCAAAACTGTCTCTTCAAAACTGAAATTTCTGTTTAGATTAGACCCTAGAGGGTGAGAGCGGTGACAGTGATAGTAGCAATGTACAGTGTGAACAGAGAGAATCCTGAGATATGGAGAGCAGTTAATAAGCTGTTATGATGGTGATGCAGTGGACTGGAAGAAAGGAAGGAAATACAATGAAGAAGCATTATTCCCACAAAACGGATATCATCAGCACAAGTAAGGCAGATATTATGTCCTAAGCACAAAACTTCCCTGGAGTGACACAACAGAGATCCAGCTTAAAGCAGAAACGTGTGAAGAAAAGAGTAAAAACGTTTCAATGAAGTTTTTTGGAGGCATCCAATATTTTACTCTAAGAATACTCAAAGGCAAAATTTCTCAGGGCAAGATTTCTATTAATCTTTAAGTTTACAGACTCTTATAACTTTCACTACATACTAAAGACAAGGAAAAATGTTAATATATATAATATGTTCGTATATAAATTAGAAAAATATGGAAGAACATATATCAAACCATAAATAATAGTTACGTGGGGGGCGGTTAGGACACTTTTACATTCCTATATAATATGTATTTTTCCAATATAGATTGCTTTTATAATTATAAGGAAAAAGAAAAACCCAAACCAAAATACAAAAAATATGTATCTGGGCATAAAAACTGGGGACTTTCAGAAATAAGTGAAAAATTCTCACACATAACTCCCATATTTTCCGTGAAGAGAATTTTACATTAACATTTGGAATGTTGTTATTTAGACAGAAAAGGAATTAACGTTTCAAAAGATGGTTTTACTGACACTAGAAGAAATATTCTTAAGCCATTTTGTTGGCATGAAAGTACAGGACAAACTAGGCATTATTTTATTTGAATTAAAGTATTTTTAAATTTTTTCTCTAAAAAAAAATAAAAATGAAAACTTATATATGAGTTCCTATCAGGCGGTTAATTCATATTTACATTGACTATATCTATGTTAATGGCCCAATGCCTAATTTTTATGAATTGCCCTTAAGCTTAATTCCTACTCCTCTATTCCATGAGTAACAATTCAAAAACATTAAAAAAAAAGTTTTCCATATCCACCTTCAAAGGTACTCTAGATTTTTTTTCTAAAAAATATTTTTTATTTATAAATTTATTTATAAATAAAATATATTTTTATTTATAAAATAAATTCATAAAATGAATAAATAATAAATATATTTTTATTTATAAATTTATTTATAAAATAAAATATATAAATATAAAATTTATTTATAAAAATATTTTTTATTTATAAATTTATTTTTTATTGGTGTTCAATTTGCCGACATATAGAATACTCTAGATTTCTCTAAGAAAATATTAAAAAACATTATAATTTCTGGAATATTCTAAATCTCATTTTTTTAAAAAGATTTTATTTATTTATTCATGAGAGAGAGGGGGCAG